ATAATTTTTCTTTTTGTAAAAAACAATGTAAAAATTATTAAATTAAACTCTTCAATTATTCATATTTTTCCAATATATGGACAGATACACGAAAAAGAAAAATATATATGGATATATTTTATATATAATTATATATATAATTACATATATTTTTATAAAACGTTTTTTTCCAGGTATGCAAACAACTACCAGTGTCTAATTGAATTGTAGAATATACTATTTAATGATTATCATGATAAAGTGGAAAAAACGCGCGTTGAGAGCGAGAGAGAGAGAGAGAGAGAGAGAGAGAGAGAGTGAGAGAGAGAATAATGTACTATTTAAATTAATCATTTGTATGTATTATATATTCGAAAGTAAATGCTATATATTTATCATTAACTCTAATGATGCGTTGTCAATAAAGATAGAATCTTTAATAAGTGTACTTTTCAACGTAAGAAAATCAAGAACATATTCATTTAAGTGGCTGTTCTATATGCACACTATACTTTCATATCTATTCCTATAACATAATTAATAGCGACAGTGATAGTCGCGCGCGACATGATTCTTGCATTGTAACTAATTAAATACTTTATGGCGACTAGTCTTGCTACAATTAAAATAATACATGTACACGTACACTACACATCTCTCAATGTGTATATATGTATGTGTATGAATGTCCATTACACGTACTATATACATATACATAGTACATACACGTATACTGAATATCTAATTTCAACAAATGACTCGAAACAAACATAGTAATGTTCTGATAAAAAAAGAAGTCATTGCAGCTATTTAATAATTATTGTATGTAATGTATGATGAGTAAGAAGTGGCTCTTTATTTTTTTTCTATTTGCAATTAAAATATGTTATACATCTGATACTCTGATTACGATTTTATCACTAAAATTACACTGAAATATGTAACTCTAACGTGTGTAAAGATAATTGTAACATAAGTAGTGACACAAAAACCTAGTAGTCTTCTTTGTGTGTTTATTGTAAAAAATAAATATAAAAGTTGTAAGATATTAGAGATAATCATATATATATGTATATATATATGTGTGTGTGTGTGTATATATATATATATATATTTGTTATTATATGAAATATTTCAAACATAATTATACAGATACCTGACCAGAGTGGTATTAATAAATTATGGACTTTTTAGCACATCTTTCTTTTACGTAATTCATTTTGTATATAGACAATATTTAATTGATTGAGGGAAAATCATCGATTGAAATTGTAGATAATATGTTTAGATTCTCTCATAAAAATCGTATAACAATACATACAGATTATATATATATATATATGTTATTATATGAAATATTTCAAACATAATTATACAGATACCTGACCAGAGTGGTATTAATAAATTATGGACTTTTTAGCACATCTTTCTTTTACGTAATTCATTTTGTATATAGACAATATTTAATTGATTGAGGGAAAATCATCGATTGAAATTGTAGATAATATGTTTAGATTCTCTCATAAAAATCGTATAACAATACATACAGATATGCATTCCTGGTATTGTTCTGAAATGAAAATTTTAATACCAGTTAATGTTGAAACTATAACAGTTTTTGAGTTATAAGTATTTAAAATTAACGAATCAGGTCTGCTAAAATTAATGCGCTCAAGATCATGCGCGCGGTCAGAACTTTTTTTAGAGCGGAAACGTGAAAAGTAAAAATTTTTCAAAATTATGAAGGTCTGTTAAGCTTTGCAGGGTGTTGCTAAATATGATCTTTACTTTTTGAAATTTATAAATTAATTCAGATTAACGTCAAGTATAAAACAGATTACAAATATAGATCTTATATATATGGATGCGCCTTTCTCGTTAAATAGAAAGAGACAAAAATGCGTTATATCTTCTATCCTTTGTTGTACCAAATATACGACGTGTATGCTCAAAATGACATGTGAAGAAATGATTTAGTGATGCACATTTGGCCTCGGACGTCACGGAAAATCATCCCCTTCACTTTTACTCCATCAACTGATGCCGCTCTCGGTTAAGCCGCGTACATACTTGTAGCAGAACGCCGTCGCGATGAAGACGCAGAAGCAGAAGACGGAGTGCAATATAAATAGTGTCTCGAACGCTGCCACGAACATCACCGCATAAAATCACGTACGTATTTGTAAAAGGCCGTCTACATAAGTCGCAAACGCAGAACGCAATTCGCAGACATATTTGCAACAGCCAATGAAAAGCTGTTATTAGTATCATTGACGTTTCTGATCGACTGTCGCAAATGCGTCTGCGAACTGCGTTCTGCGTTTGCGACTTACCATGGTATGTAGACGACCCTTAACACAACGTGTGCAGTGTGGACGATGTCTCGGATGCTGCTGCGAACATCACCGCATAATATCGGGCCGATCGGCTGAGAGTTGGTTTTTTGTCGCCACATCAAAGAAATGATCGCAACGTTCCTGTTTAGCTGCGTACAGACTTGTACCAAGAACGTCGCCGCGAACATCGAGCCCTTCTGTCAGGATCACAAAGAATCAATTTTAATCTTGGGACAAAGTCCTTGAAATCATTATAAAATTCATATGAAATCTCTGTATAATCCGATAATTACATATGCAATCACAAGAAATTATTGTATAATATTAAATAATATTAGATATGGACGAGGGAAATAGCATATGGGGCAATGAAAATAAAAATGGCAATAACATTCGAGAAAATATTACATTTGTATTTTTCTTAAATGTACAAATTCATATTTTGTTTCAGTCATTTCCAAGTATTACAACAGTCTTTTATAATAATCTTACTCTATTTTTTTTATTTTTAATTTTATATTAATTATGTGTCAATGTCATATAAACATTTACAACAATAAAATGTACATTTGTACTCTTATTATTATTTCTCTCTTCATTAGTATAGTAACAAAATAAAAGACAGAATAATATTCAACATAGGCTATGTAATATATTACGCATTAATAAAAATAAACAATCCATACAAGACCAATATGAGTCACGGGCTAATGAAGGTGTCAACGATTAAAATCTGTATTATTAATCGATTGTGTGGAATCTTCTTTATTTCGAACGTTTCGACTCTCTTTGGAGTCCTCCTCAGCAATACATATCTCAAATCATTTTATTGAGTCTTCCGTCACGTTTTCCTCTTATCCGATCGGACTGCAGTTTTATGCAGATTTTTTTTTCTTGAATTAGAACCGTTTTGGGGGGTGCCGCAAAGAAAAATTTGAAAATCGAAAATAAGAGCCACTTATATATATATAAATATATAAATAAATAATTTATATATATATATAAAAGGTAACTGCACTCGAAGGATGAAAAACCGGGGTGGGGATTACGAAATAAAGTTCAGCGATTATTTAAGAAAGGTAATTCACATACAACTGTTTATTGAGACATGTAGAATACATCTGGTCATACACAAAAATCTTTGACACTTTAAATCAAGCTCCTAGCCCGAAAAAAGGAACCATGTTATAACATTCGTCTTTAAATTCATTATTAATCATTATGTTTAACTACGTTTTACACTAAAATTAGGGGCAACTTGGAGAAATAAAAATTGCGGAAATTAAAAAGCGAACGATTGCTAGAGGAGATGAATAATTACAGAATTCGATAAAAAACGCAAAATACAATTAGCGATGATATAAATTTGGCAAAATTTGGTAAAAAGTTTACATATCTGTTTACAGCCGCGGAGCTGACATGTAGCGCAAAAAAGTAATACATATATATATATGT